TATCATAAAATAAATCGGTTGTACAACACCAATTTCGTTTAAATTTTTATTTAATTTGAAATAAAACCACTTTATAATATTCGGTAAAATATTTTAAGGAAAATGAAATATATTAAATATGTTATGCTAAGGCTCTCAGGAGGAAAGGATCAACAAACGTTCTGCTGCAAATTTAACAATGCAGCAAATTTAGCGAGACGAAAACGGCGCTTTTGTTTCAGTTATTTTTGTAGGGGTTTCAGATATTTATAGAGTTCAGTGGGTTGTTTGTGAGGAGATGTGGAGATGTGAATTATTAATTAATCACACTTTATTAGTATATAGGGCCTTGCACTTTATCATCTGGATTAAAAAAAAACGTTTCCTGCTGAGTGCAGAAAAATAGGTAGGTGCATCGCCAGGTTCTATCATGATCACCAGGATTGGAGCAGTTATTGCAGTTGAAAGTCAAAGTTGGCTGTTCATGTTTAGGCCCTCTTCTTTATTTGGCCATCTACCCCATATTGCAGTTGTGATGACAAGCAGTTTTCAGTGTAGTTTTGTGATCTTTGATGTCATCAATTGGTGTCATTATTTTTCGTCAACTAAAACTTATTTGAACTTTCCATTCAATCGACTCAATCATACGAGTCACTCTAATTTTCGGGAATCAAATCAGTCAACCAGTCGCTAAAGTCAAACGAGTCAGTCAACCAGTCATCTCGAAAAGTCAATCGACTCAATCCAATCAACTCAAAATACGCGTTGAATCAAATCAATCAATTCAATCGACTTGATTGGTATACAACCCTGGGGAGGAGGCTCCCGTGAAGCAGAGACCACGGCGGGTACCAGTTATACTCCGCGAGCAAGTCGAGATGCAGAAGACGCAGATGATAAAAGATGGAATAATTGAAGAGAGTACAAGTCCGTGGTGTTCCCCAGTCGTCCTGGCCAGAAAGAAAGATGGAAGTTTCCGCTTCTGCGTCGATCTCCGCGCGATCAACAGCCGAACTCGCGGATGTGCGCATCCTCTGCCGAGGGTCGACGAGGCGTTGGATACCCTAGCGGGGGTAACGTGGTACACGACGCTCGACATGGCGACCGGTTACTGGCAGGTCCCGCTGGCCACAGAGGACCGAGAAAAAACGGCGTTCTCCACCACGGGCAAAGGACTCCATCAGTTCAGGATGATGGCCATGGGTCTCAAAAATGCTGGAGCCACATTCCAGCGACTCATGGAACTGGTGCTTGCGGGTCTGGACTCGAAACGCTATTTAGTCTACCTTGATGACATCATCATATCAAGCAGATCCGAGGACGAGCACATCGCAACGCTCCGTGATGTCTTCAAGCGAGTGAGGTCGGCGAAGCTGAAGCTCAAACCAGAAAAGTGCCGCCTCGCAAAGCGCGAAGTTACGTTCCTCGGTCACCGGGTCGCAAAGGAGGGACTCCTACCGGACCCACATAACATCCAGAAGATACTCGACTGGGCTCCACCGAAGACGGAAGATGGCATGAAGAGCTTCCTCGGATTGTGCGAATATTACAGCCGTTTTGTCCCACAATACATGGATCTCACGAAGCCGCTGAGGGAAGCCAAGGTGGTGGGTGACCACCTGACGTGGACGCCGGAAGCTGAAGCAGCTTTTGAGAGTCTGAAGCAGGCGCTGACTGCACCTCCAGTGTTAGCCCTCCCTACGTTCCGTGGTACATTCGTCTTGTACACGGATGCATCCGACTCTGCAGTCGGTTCAGTGCTCGCGGAGCGGGTGGGTGACACGGAGAGAGTCATCGCCTACGACAGCAAGGTGCTGACAAAGCAACAGCGCAGATGGCCAACATATGATAAAGAACTCTGGGCCATCGTTCACGCCATCCGGCGATTCAACCAGTACACAGTTGGAGCAGAATTCGAAGTCGTGACCGATCACAAACCACTCACGGGTGTACCGGAGTCCATCAATGTGGAACGTGACGGGACGGGAAGACGTGGCCGGTGGGCCATCGAGCTGAGCTCTTACCAGTTCCGGGTGGTTGTCCGGCCGGGCCGTGATCACGGTAATGCCGATGCGATGTCCCGGCAGCGACCAGTCAACGGCAATATCTGGACGGGCAAGCGCAGCAAGTCTTGTCCCGCCGAAGCCGGTCAAGCACCCGTGCATACCGCAGCTACAAGAGCCCAAAAACCTGCTTCTGGTGAAGAGGAGGAATGTGTGGGGAAGACTCGAAGCGCAGCAGAACTTGACCAAGTCTGCGCACTGCCTACTGCGCCACCTAGTGCGAAGGGTGACCAGGCGGGACGCCTAATCACTGAAGCACCAGGACAATCGGAGTTGCAGACGGCGCAACAAGAGGACGAGGTCCTCAGTGTCATGCGGAACGCCTGTCTGGGCAGTCGGGAACCACCGCCCGATCACCCTCTCGCCGAGTGGGAGCTACTGCGTGGGAGCTGGACGCAGCTCGAAGTGCGGGAGGGCGTTCTCGGCATGAGGACGAAGTGGGGCTTCCGGACCCTGGTCCCCGATTCGATGCGATCAAGAATCATGACGCTCGCCCATGACCATCCGACGTCCGCACACTTGGGACGGAGTCGAACAACGGAAAGAGTGCGACAGCGCTTCCTCTGGCCCGGCATGTTCGCGGACATACGTCGGTACTGCAGCACGTGTGACCTTTGCCAACGGCGCCATCGCCCTGCACCGAAGAAACGGGCTCCTCTGGTGACGGAGGTCACGAGTCAACCATTCCGCAGAATTGCGATTGACATCACTGAGATGCCGGTGTCGAAGAATGGCAACCGATATGCAGTAGTCATCATGGACTATTTTTCTAAATACGTCCGAGTGTACCCAGTCAGACGGCAGGATGCCGAAACCGTAACCACGGTGCTGTTGGATTGGGTTTACGACATGGGGGTGCCAGACAGGATTCACTCGGACCAAGGAGGCCAATTTGAGTCTGCATTGTTCCAGTGCATGTGCAAGCGACTGGGCATCCAGAAAACGCGTACAACGCCCTATCACCCTGAGAGTGATGGTATGGTAGAGCGTTTTATGAGAACACTCAAGGACATGGTCGCCAAATACGTTGACCCTCAAGGAGCGAACTGGGACGCTGACATCAAGGCGTACTGCATGGCTTACAACACCTCTGTGCACAGCGTCACCGGATATTCCTCGTTCTTTCTGCTGCACAGATTCCACCCGAAAACGCCACTCGATGCGGTCATCAACCCTCCGGATCGGGCGGTAAATATCCGGTGCTACCTTGAAGAGCGTCTAAAGGCCATTTCAGAGGCTTATCAGACGACTGTCAGGAAAACCCGGGCCAGTGCTACGGAGGCTGCAACCCGATTCAACCAGAGCGCGAGCGGAAAAGGGTTCGAGGCTGGTGACCGGGTATGGATTCGGGATAATAGGGTCTCGGTCGGCGGGAAGCCGAAGCTGGGACTGTACTACAAAGGCCCGGGCACCATCATCGGCCGCCTCGGAGGAGAGAGAGGAGTAACGTACCTCGTCCGTGACGACAAGGGCAAGGAAAAGGCTCTGCACTTCAACCAGCTAAAGCCTGCTGTGGAACGGGAGTCTCACAAACAGGAAACGTCTGGAAGCACCCGGAGGGACGACGCATCGGACACAGCCACAGAAACGCGTCCCAGGAAGCAGACGGGGTCCGAGGAGACTGGACCGGATCCACTGGCGTTGTACTACCTCGGCCGGCGGGCCCGAGATCAGGTGGGGAATGGGGGTACATCTGTGCGGGGCGCGTATGTGACCAGGTCTGGCAGAGTGTCGCTCCCCCCAGATCGTTTTCAATCCTAGGCCTCGGATGCTCTCGATGTGCATCACCAGTGTCTGAATCAGTTTGTATTTCCGGTCGCGTTCCGGTCGCGTAGTGTGTCGCGTTTCTTTGTTACTTGACCAAGTGGAAACGCTTCTTTTATGGGGGGAGGAGTGTTGGGATATTGTGACCGCGGACCGGCCGTGTGGGGCCGTGGAACAGGATGGGTCGGCGGCCCGGCCGTCCGGCCGGCGAGCCGCCTGACCGCCGCGCGGTCACCGCGCATGCGCTCTGTGCCGTGGTTATATAAGGGCGCGACCTTGACCGGGCGGGGTCAGTCGGCGGGTCGCCGTGTCCGTGCTTCGTCTTCGGTCGCTGGAGGCACAATACACCGTGTCATGGTATATGCAGCTTTACTTGGCCCTAACAGAAACACGATATTTAAAGGGTAGGTACTAGGTGGACCAATAAAAATGTCCCTCCTGTACAACATTGGTAAACCTAGGTGTTAGCGAGCAAAAACGTTGGTATTTTTAGGCATTTTCGCAAAGATGGCCGGCGCTCGGAGCGCGGCGGTCGGTCCGCCGCGCCGCGCCGGGCACATATGTGTCATCTGGCCCCTGTCCTGGTTCTCAGGCCCACGTGTTGTGCTACCACGAGGGCTGAGACGGGACGGGGGCCCGACAGTCTTCGACGGGACTCCACCGGTGCGCGACGGCCCGGTGCACGACGTGGCCGACGTGGCCTTACATACGACGCGGCCGACGTGGCCCTACGAGAACGATTCAGTGAACCGCATTTGTGACCCCCGTATTTTGTGCATTTTAACCGTTTCCAACCGTTTTAACCTACCTAAGGTGGTTACCACCCCCCCCCCCCATGTGCGGGCGAGGGTTAATCAATCTCCCCCGCCCCAACCCCTGACCGGGCGAGGGATGAGATGTAGGTCCGAACCCTCCAACTTGTCGAGATATCCACTGAGATCATAGACCCGCCTCTTCCATCCCTGCACATGTCTGCTCGTCACTATGTTTTGTTTTGCCGAGTTGCAGAGTTGTCCCGGGGACTGGGGAAGGGAAGGGGAGGGGAGGGGTGGAGGGGACTGCACATCGACCGGCGGCCCGTGTTGTCCCTGTGACCCTGGTGACCCCCACTGACGTCATCAGGCCAGGACACCGCGCCGCCGACTCACTAAACACGATCGATTCTGCCGACACACCGACTCGCGGTATTGATATTCGACGCAGTTCCAGACGGGAACAAAGGCCGACGGAGGAGCCGGAGCCGCACGAGCTGCACTGCGTCCACCGGCCGGGTCAGTGGACAGAGCGGGTGGTCCAACAGTGTGTGGACGGTACTGAGCTCTGTCCACCGGAGCCGACCACGGCGGAGGCGGCGAATATCAGGTAAGCAGGGCCGACCTGTGTGTGTGTGTGGGGGGGGGGGGTGTCTGTGTGTCCCTGTGTCTGTTGTCTGAGTGTGTTTTGTGCGTCTGTGTCTATAGTCAGACTACATGTGTTTATGTAACAGTGTGTAATTGATTCTGTGATTCTTTGTGTGACTTCTCTGTGCGCTAGGTACCCGTCTGAGTGTTTGGATGTCTGTGCTTCATTTGCCTGTAGACTGTATGTTGGCGTGTCTGGCCTCGGCTAACATGCATTAACTGGGGGGGGGGGGGGAGGGCATAATGGGCGGAACGGGGGGGGGCACCGGGGAACCGTGTCCCCTTGATTTCGGCATTTTAACATACGCCCTATGGGCTTTGCATGGAAAGAATGGAGCTAAAAGTCAGAAATGCCCCTTTAATTGAAGGTGTTCCGCGCTACTGGGGAGGGGGCAAATGTCCCGCAGTGGCTGCCAGTTGCCCCGGCAGTGACGAGATTTTGCCCACCCTGTAGGAGTAAATATAAGGCACTTGAAATATTCTCCAAGCTGTCAAACCCGATGTAAAAGTCAATCAATTTCCTGTTTTATTTTCATATTTTGTCGCCAGTGTTTACACTGTTCTTAGTCTAATGTCGTAGAGAACATCCAGCGGCGTATCCACAATCTTGAGATTACCTTTACCTTAGGGTACCCAGTGGAAACTTTTTAGCCCGCGCCATGGTGGGGGGTATTTTTGCCCCCCCCCTTCCAGTCGTTTCGCATTATCTCTCAAACTTATGCGCCGATCGTCGCGAAAATTTCAGTACCCTCTTGTAAATCGATTTTACACCTTGTGACCTTTTTCCACAGCATATGTATGATAGGTTGGCCGTAAATGACGTCAGATTGACGTCATGTTCAGGCATTTCCGATCCAAAAGAGGTTTGGTGGGCAGAGCTGTCAAGTCCAAAGTTTTGAAGATAGAGAAAAATGTTGAAAAACAAAAAGATATAAAACAAGCAGCGCTACAAAACTACTGTCTTATTTTTGTTACATATTTGTTTTTATTTAGAACCCCAAAATATAAAAGTGATTTTTGAAATAAACTGAAATAAAAAACGGATCTTTTTGTTAGCCCGCGCCCCGTTGCCTCGCACGAATTACTCGTGAAACACATAGTTTGCTATTTGAGGTCACTGATACCAGGTCAGGTAACAGAGGTCAGGTCACTGAGGATCACAATATGAAAGTGTCGTGTAATACATGTTTAACCAGCGCCCCAGTGGCGGTCTCAGCCAACTTCGCCCTAGTGGGGGGGGGGGGCATATGTTACCACCCACCTCTAACTCAAAAACTAAGAGGGCTAGAAAGACGCTGTAAAAAGCAGTCGATAGCTCTCAATGCGTAAGTTTGAAAGTATTTCGGTCAATTTTCATCTTAGAGCAATATTAGGATCACTGGAGGTAATCAAAGGTCAAAATTTGCCAAACGTCATTATTATATTTGTCAGAAAACATGCATTTATCTCAGGAAATATGATAGCTAGAAAAATGCGTGGAAAAGCAATCGATAGTTCTTAAACTATTCTTTTGATAAGGTTATTATCAAAATTGACCTCAGGTCAACGGTTTCGCCTCCAGAGGGCAAAAACTCCAAAAATAGCTGTTTTTACGTACGAAAAGTGTTTTTCGACAATAACTTTTGACTAAAAAAAGCCACGACATTTCTATTGCCAGAATCGTTTTCCTCTTGCCGAGACGCATCGAAATAACTATAATTTGACCTTGAAAGGTCAACTTGAAAATTTGACCTCAGGTCAAGGTCATGACCTGACTGGAAAAGGTCATGTTGCATATCAGTCGATGCGTCTCGGCAAGACAAACACAATGAGACCATCCCAAGCGTTCTATCTCTTTCCAATCACGAGTTATTGGCAAAAAGCTGTTTGTAGCCTCAAATGACCGCGGATGACCTTTCTAGGAGCTATCATCAAAAAAAGAAACCTTGATCGTCACGGGTGGTCCCAATCATTGTGATTCTGAAAAATTTGGACTGTTCCTATGCGTACACACGGATCTAGAGGCATTTTCATTTTTCTCCATTGACTTGTAATGGAAAGGTCACGTCACTGACCTGACCTTAGGTCACGGATATAAAAAATCCGAGATATACAAATTGTAGGCGCCCATAACATTATGCAATCCACCAAGTTTAAAACCTCTCTGACAAACACTGCAGGCTGGACATGATTGCAAACTTTTTTAGTCTTGGTCAGCTAACCGCGCCCCATTGCGGGGGCTATTCATAGCCCCCTCCCGTTTTTCTGCAATAACTTCCAAACTGCTTGACGTGTCAACGCCAAACTTTCAATACCTTCGGCTGCATCAATTTGACACCTTGCGTTAAAATATGAACTTCGTAGCTACTAGTGGTGTCAATTTCAGAAAAAGTATGTCCAAAGTCCGTCCAATGTCCAATGCTTACGTCGATTGTCCGTCCAAAAATATCCAAGCCAGCCATTTGTCCAAAGATGTCCGACACCTACGCAATAGTTTACACTCAACACTGTTATTTAATTTGCTTTTCATTAACCGTTACAAGCTCAAAAGTGTTAACCTTCGCCCTGGTGGGGGGGGGGGCCATTTTGGCCCCCCCCTGTGGTTTTTCAGCGATAACTCAGAAACCACTTGAGTTAGCGCCCTGAAACTTTGTATAGCTGTTTATTCAACATTTTTACATCATGTCCTTTTTTGGGGGGTTCGGGTCAGGTCAGGTCAGGTCACAAGGTCACCAAAACTGACACCACCTCTAAAAAAGTTCAAAGCTCTCTCAAAGGCACAGCTTTTATCCGATCGATGTAAAATTTACAGTACTTGAAGATGTCACCCAGCTCTACAAAATGGCTATCTCGGATTTTTTATAAATGTGACCTAAGGTCAGGTCAGGTCATCGCTGCTCCCCATTATAAGTCAATGGGAGAATCGAAAAGTAGTTGTTTTTCAGCTAAATCGGGCGTGATTGTTCCTATATTTCGTTATTGAAGTGTCTTGGGTCAGCAAATCACAGCCCATGTGAAACCATTTGCTTGTGACCTCGCTGAGGTCACGCTAGGTCATCTCCCTGGTCACCAGAGGTCACCAGCGGTTTTTCTGCACTTACTTGTTATTGAATAGAGATAGAGACTCCGTTCGACGTTTATCGTGTTTGTCTCGTCAATGCGGATCGAATGATATGCAGCATGACCTATTTCGGTAAGGTCATGACCTTGACCTGAGGTCAAATTTTCAAAATGACCTTTCGAGGTCAAACTATATATCATTCGACGCGTCTCGACGAGCCAAGCACGATGGTGCATGAATCGTTTCTCTATTTTCTCGTGAATGCATGCTATAGTTAAAAACATTTTCAAAGAAATTTGCCAAGTTGACCTTGCATGACCTCTGTAGGCCAAACCGTTGAGCTGAGGTCAAATCTGACGAACCTTGGCGAAAGAGCTTGAAAAGAGCTATCGATTGCTTTTTTCCGCGGCTCTCTAGCTCTTCTAGTTTCCGAGCTACAGCGGAATATGTCCGGCAACACCGAAAACACTGAAATTTGACCTATGATGACCTCTAGCGACCTCAATATTGACCTTAGCGAAAAAATGACCGAAATGCTTTCGAACGTACTTGTTATGGGCTTTCGTTTGCTTTTTTCCGCGTCTTCCTAGCCCTCTTCGTTTTCGAGTTAGACGGGGGGGTCATTTTGGCCCCCCCCCCCCCCCCCACCAGGGCGAAGGTGGCTCAGACCCACACCAGGGCGCGGGTTAATCATATCGAAAGCTGAGCTTTCTAATAGCCAATCAATGTTAAACACGACTACTTTTTAAAAATGTTGAGGTGTAGCAAGCGATTGTCCAAAGTTGTCCAAAGCCTGCGGCCATTGTCCAATCGAATTCCGAATTGGACATTGGACTAAATCGGAATTCCGAAGATTCAAGTTCCGATTGACACCACTAGTAGCTACCATTGGTCGGCCGGAAATGCCGTCAGAGTGACGTCATGTTCGGCCGATTTCGACGCAAAACAATCAACCACGGCAATCGCTCCCAAGAGCTCAGTTTTTAACCTAGATCCAATTTCTTTGCATGAAAGGACTCAGAATAGACTGCACTATCAAACTGCTATTTCGAATTTTCAAGGTTTTGAAAATTTTGAAAATTTCATTTAATAAAATTCTAAATTTATATTATTATTTTTTTTCCAAAAAAAAATGAATTTTCGAACAAAACCGGAAGAAATGCGATAGAACGCATGCTTATGACTAATTTCAGCAAGTTTTAGCTAAATGTCTTCAAAAATGGCAAAGTTATACGCATTATTGCAAAAAATTACAATAAATAATTTTTCAAATCACGTTTCAGTGCGTATTTGACATCTTACACCAATATAAATAGCACCATCGTGTTCCTGAGCTCAAACTGCATCCACTTGACACCTTTTTTGTTGAAAAATTTTAATTTCAAAAATTTGACTTTTTTACCTGAAAGTGACCTGACCTAAGCTAAATTCGACTCAAAATGACTTCAAATGACACAGACGACATCAAATTCGAAATATATGGCCTAAATGGACCATAAATCATTTGTCACGTGACCGACGCATGATATAATATTTCCGTGACCTGTAATGACCTGACCCTTACCTGAAAATCAAAGTACAAGTTTGGTACCCTCAGGGTATCTGGAACATCTGTTCATGAGTTCATCAAAAAGTAGCCTGATCTGACTTGTAAGACGGCGGCCAGAGCCCAAAATGTGAACAAGCCAAAACGCTTATAATTTTTACTTTGACCTGACCTGTGACGTCATCGGTGACCTCGAGGTCAATGTAATTAGGTTTCGTTCGACAGTTTTTCCGGGGCTATCAGACGCCGTTTGAATTTTGACGATCAGCCCAGTAGTTTCGGAGATAGGAGGGGAGCTATGAAGAGCCCCCCCCCCCCCCCCCAGTAGGGTGTGTTATACGCAGACCCCAGTGGGGCGCGGGTTAACTTGACCTGG